TTCTTTTTAGTCCAGAATTAGCCAAGATATATCTTTTCTAATTGCTATGCTAAACAATGGCTAATTATTAGCCTCCTATCCAAACACCCCCTTTATCTCCTCAGAATTACTCCTTCCGACCAAAAGAATATACAATTCTCACATCATAACAAGTCACACAATTTTAAATTGAATCAGATCAATATAAAAAATTATTAACATCTATGATAACAGATAAGTATTGTTAGAATAATTATAGAATATATGTTAATAGTAAATCTAATTAGAGACATAACTGTTGATATTTTTCCTATAAATTTAATCAAATTTTAAAAGGTTTAACCTGTCTAAAACCTAGAATTATTATTTTTGGATGGAGAGAGTATATGTGTGGTTTTAGTTTTAGTCTATAACTTTAAAATCGAACATTTTACAATGTCAAGTTACAAAACCGTTTAAATTATCTCCATATCTAGGATAAAGGTGGCTTTCAAGAATGTTTTATTCTTTTAGTTTAAAATGGTAAATATCTAATAAGATATTTAAACTGCATAAAAATTTCTAAACTTACAAATACGTTGATCAAATTCTAAAGATATATTGGGATATTAAAAACTCAAATAAAATATTTAAATCTCATGAAAGTAAACCTTCCAAAAAAATTATTTAGCTCCGGTAAAAACTGAAAATTTCCAAAAACATTTCTAGTTGATGTCTAAATATGTTTTAAATTTTTGTATGACAAAAAAATGAGGTACAACAAACAAGAATGCAATATATACTTAATGCTTAATACATTCATGTGGGTTCAATCTTGTGTTTTTGTTATGTGGTTTTCAAAGCATTTTTATACGTCTATTAGAATATTTTGAAAAATAAAATATGTTTTTTTAATGTCATAATTTACCTCTAGGATTTTCTTGGAAGTTTTAGAAGCTAGAGACATTTTTCATGGTTCAAAATACTAACTAGCTATACGGAAAAATGAACAAAAGAATGATGAAACCGCTTCTAACTTAGGGAGGAAGTTAATTTAAATAGTTCTAAGAATTAAGATGATAAGATGTCTAGTTTTAGAGTTTGAGAAGAAAAACCAGATCTGACAGATAACTCAGGGAGGTAAGAAGAGGTTTTTCCTCTTTTATGGGCCTAATGTGCTACGCCTAGACTTTCTTTGTAATCTCATATGTAAAACATTAGCCCCATAACGATCGTGATTGTTGAACCTTATAGAGAATGAAATGCATCAAGGTCAGTTCTTCATTGTACACAATGGGGGACGAGAAAAAGTATTTCTGATTAGAAATCATCTAAAACCTTTACATATATTGGGGGCATAAACATTTGCAACTACATAGGTACTTAGTCATTTTTGTTAAAACATAGTAAAGCATGCGGTCATAATCAGTGGCGGATCCAAAGGGGGGGCTGGGGGGGCTCCAGCCCCCCCTAATGTCTTGATTTCAAGCCTAATCACTGTAGCAAAAGCTTGATTTCATCATTAAATCTTCATGCAAATCAACATCTCCATTGTTTTAGCCCCCCCTTATCCCGCATCGTGCATCCGCCACTGGTCATAATCACACCTATCAACGATTATGGGGGGGCTAGGTTGAGAGATATTGGTATCAGCGATGTGCCTAGCATGTCTCATACATTAAAATGAGCAATATAGGCATATATGGGTGGAGATTTAGTCTTAGGGTTGAATATCACTAGAGCATGCTCAGAATTTTTGTTTCTTAAGCTATGTGCCTATCACTTAGGCAGGGGCTGGGAGTTTGTTCAAGGGTGTGTATCAACTCGATATATTGCTTTCAGGATGTAGTAAAATCTTCTTTTTCCAAAAAAAAGTTTAATGAGACATGCAAGAGGTATAACCTTCTCCACTAAATATCTAAGCAATGCTTGGTTTTAGTTGGATATTAACTAAATATTCTCTCCATCCCAAAAATTAATACACATCTCACTTACTGATAAGTCAAATAATTTTAATTTTTACTTTTTATATAAAAGAGTACTCCCTCCGTTCTAAAGTAAAAGACATTTTGACTTTTCTAGATACATTATTTTAACTATGTATCTAGGCATAGCGTATATCTAAGTGCACAGCAAAAGCTAGGCATCTAAAAAGTCAAAACGTCTTATAATTTGAAATTGATGGAGTATCAACTTTTGTATCTCCAAATTGGCTTAGTATGAAAATATTCCCTCCGTCCCTGTTTAAATCAACTTCTAGAAAGTTTAGGACAGATCAGTGCTATAAAAGAGAAGGCCACAATGCCCTTCATTACTCCAAGTTCCATCTTTTAATTGCACGTTAATCGGTGATGCCTCTTAAGTGTGGCACTAGTTTTTAATTTAAAAAATTACTACTCTACTCAACTGACCGCCACCAATTTGCTTCATGAGTTAGGTGTTGTTTCGAGGAGTATGTTGATCAACCTCTGGCGACTTCAAGGGAAAATATAAAAAGGCCATACTCTGGAAATGGATTTAATCTGAGATAAATCCTCAGCCTATAAATTAGTTTAATCAAGGGCGAAGTGGGTATATTGCATGATTGATTTAATGATACCTGTTTGGTACCATAAATAGCAATATTTTTCTATATATTTAGTTAACTTTGGCATTGATTTGATTTATTGAAAAATGAGATGTGTATTCTTTTTGGACCAAAGGAGTAGTTCAAAAGGTGAGTCCGATGTAACAAATTTTCAGTCATTGAGCTTGAGCCCGTCCTTATCCTCTGGGTCCTGCGTTTCCTTGCTCACCTAGTGTAAAAAGTTACTATGTTCTTTTAGTGCCAGCATTTTTTTTAAAAAAAGGTTTAGCGTCAACAATACGATTTGAAACATACACATTTTGGTTTCCCGTTGAATCCACACCGTTGCTGGCGCTATCATCGCACAGAGCCAAAAGAAAATTGAAGAACAGACAACCACCGCAGTAGTCACGGCCTCACTAGCACGTTCTCCGCGGCGGGACCCAAAGTTATATTCCACACCAGCCGCAACTCAATGCGCGGACAGCAATGCCCGCGCCACTGGACACTGATGAAGCCCCGGCGGTCGAGGTCGATGATCATGCGCCGGTTAGGATTTGGCCATCGTACACCTCGGCCGCGGCGGGGCGTGGGCGCTCTCCGTCCGTCCACGCCGGCAGCCTCGCTTTCGCCCTTGCTCCGGCAGCCTCGCTTTCGCCCTTGCTGGACGTGGACGGACGGAGAGCGCCCACGCCACGCCGCGGCCGAGATGTACGAGGCAAAATCGTAACGGGCGCGTGATCCTCGACCTCGACGGGATTAGAAGATGCGACAGATTTAAATACGCGCATGTGGAAAAACGATCCCGAGGTCGGTGACGGGAAACCACCTGGACCCGACCCTTGTGGAGACTGGAGGGTAGGTCGACCCGAGGCAAAAAAAAAAAAAAAAAAAAAAAAAGGAGAGAGAGAAGAAGAAGCAGCAGCCCGAGTCTGAGGCTGAAGCCCAGAAGGCCTAACAAGAAATTGACGCCAATTTTCAGAACGGATGCGCCCCCTCACGCGGCAGGTACGTAAACGTAACAGACTCCGTTCCATGGCTAGCCGCAAGAGAAACCGCATGATCGTCAAACCGTCGGCTGCGAACCGCATGACACGGAGATACGAAACACAAAGAGAAGACTACGTGCACGCATGGTTATTTTGTGGTTAGCTAGCATGCCAAAACTCGAGATAGAAAAGTAATAATTAAATAAACAGACATATAAGCTTATCCTATATATAAACTACAATACAAGGGACATTAAAAAGGCATGAAATCAGTATTATATATGTATAAACATGCCATGCACATGGTATATACAGCAGCCCTTGTAATGCATGCAATATATTTGCAACCCCACTTTACTTTACAGGTGCCACTTTTACTACTCTGAATTTTTTTACTCGCTGCTGACCTGCTGTTACATCAGACAGCATTCATTCACAGTGGCAAACGAGGACAGAAAAAAATGTGCGGAACGGATCCGATCTCCAAACCAAACAGGCTGTAAATTCATGTACTGTACATAGCTTGCCAGCGGAAAGGATCGGTTTGCATCGCTGGAGAAGCGCTGCACGTCGCCGTCCAGATCGATCTCCCCTGCCTCCACTCTATAAATAGACCCCCCAAGCTCACCGCAACATTCATCAAGCCCAAGCTCAGTGACCACTCACTAAGCAGAGAGCAAGCCAGTGAGGTCCCTGAGAGTGAGAGCGTAGCCAGCCAGCCACAATGGCCGGGAACGCGCTAGCCAACTATGTCCAGGTCTACGTCATGCTCCCGGTAAGCTGCTCAAGAATCATGCGATGCAACTGCAGCATTGTTAGCATACCGCTACCAGTATATATAACGAACAAACGAAGAGATCGACCTAAACGAATCATGACAATCCGAAAAAGGAAAGATTAAGCTGAATGATTTACCTTTTTTTTCCAACTCTTGGCTTCCGGACATGCAGCTGGATGTCATCACTGTGGACAACACGTTCGAGAAGGAGGACGAGACGAGGGCGCAGCTGAAGAAGCTGACGAAGGCGGCGTCGACGACGGGTCATGATCGACGCCTGGTGGGGGCTGGTGGAGGGAAGGAGCCGGGGTCACGATGGAGCGCCTAGCAAGCAGGTCTTCAAGCTGGTGCAGGAGGCGGGCTCAAGCTGCAGGCCATCATGTCGTGCCACCAGTGCGGGCGGCAACATCGGCGACGTCGTCAACATCCCGATCCCACAGTGGGTGCGGGACGCCGGCAAGGACAACCCCGACATCTTCTACACCAACAGGGAAGGGCTGAGGAACATCGAGTATCTCACGCTTGGGGTGGACGACCAGCCTCTCTTCCATGGGAGAACTGCCATTCAGGTCAGCTCACTTGAAACTCTTCTCACCTCTTGGTGTAGCTAGCACATGCGGAAGGGAAGAAACATGGTAAATCAGGCCAACTTCTCTGATCTTGACGTGTGAGTGTGACCTGGGGTCGGTCTCTTCTCTGTCTGTGGCAGCTGTATGCTGATTACATGAAGAGCTTCAGGGAGAACATGGTAGATTTCTTGGATGCTGGTGTCATTGTGGACATTGAGGTGGGACTTGGCCCTGCTGGTGAGATGAGGTACCCCTCATATCCCCAAAGTCAGGGATGGGTGTTCCCAGGCATTGGAGAATTCATAGTGAGTTCTCTTTCCAAAAACACATATTCTTCAGTTTTTTTTTGTTACAAAACAAAAGGGATTAAATCTCCATGTGATGAACAAAGACACTCTTAATCTTAGTCCATGCGTTGATTTACAAAAAAAAATGAAGAAAAAAGGGTATAAAAGTGATTAAATCAAAGAGACACTTGAATAAATTAACAATCTGACTGATCAGGCCAGGGATGCCTTAAAAGTCGTACTGTGCTTGAAGCAAAGCCAAGACGACAATTAAGAACAAAACCGGATGAAATCAAATGCTTGATAAATTGATGACAAGGAATAAATAAAACGGGCTTCCTTTGAAGAAAATGAAATAAAACACGTGCCAACTAATATAAATATGTCATTACCAGCAGAGGACTACACTTTAAAGGCTACAATTGTTAATAAAGCAATAAAATAAAACTGCAGTGCTATGATAAGTACCTGCAAGCAGACTTCAAAGCAGCAGCAGCAGAGGCTGGGCATCCTGAGTGGGGTTTGCCTGATGATGCTGGGGAGTACAATGACACTCCTGAGAAGACCCAGTTCTTTGCGGATAACGGAACATACCAGACCGACAAGGGGAAGTTCTTCCTCACATGGTACTCCAACAAACTGATCAAGCACGGTGATAAGATCTTGGATGAAGCAAACAAGGTCTTCCTGGGATGCACGGTGCAGCTGGCAATCAAAGTAAGTACCATGATGAATAACACCTGGCTTTAATTTTTCCCATGATTTTAATGAACAAGTCTTTGCATATAACAATAATAAAGGTACAAGGTTTACTAGAGGCTACAACACAAACTAAGAACTAACCTATGGGTGATTGAAACATAGACATCACATGTGCTAATATTTGTTTGCAGGTCTCTGGCATACACTGGTGGTACACGGTTCCAAACCATGCAGCTGAGCTCACTGCCGGATACTACAACTTAGATGACAGAGATGGCTACAGAACCATAGCACACATGCTAACAAGGCATCCTGCTAACATGAACTTCACTTGTGCTGAGATGAGGGACAGTGAGCAGAGTTCAGAGGCGAAAAGTGCACCAGAGGAACTGGTTCAACAGGTTTAAGCCATCGGTCACTTGTCTGTATTCTCCTTTAACGGATCACAAAAGGCACTTCTCAATTATTAACAAAAAATTCTGGTGCAAACTATAAAAAATGGCAGGTGCTGAGTGCCGGATGGAGAGAGGGCCTAAATCTGGCATGTGAAAATGCACTCAGTCGATACGATGCAACAGGTTACAACACCATCCTCAGGAATGCAAGACCCCAAGGCATCAACAAGAATGGCTCTCCAGAACACAAGTTGCATGGATTCACCTACCTCCGAGTATCTGATGAACTGTTCGAGGGAGACAACTACACCACTTTCAAAACTTTTGTCAGGAGAATGCATGCTAACCTGGTGAGTAACACCCTTGAAAATCTAGACGTTCATAATTGGTTTGAGCTACACACTGACAGAGTATATAAAAATTATTTCAGGGTTATAATCCAAATGTCGATCCTGTTGCACCATTGAAAAGATCAAAGCCAGAGATACCAATTGAAGAAATCCTAGAAGTAGCACAGCCAAGATTGGAGCCATTTCCCTTCCAGAAGAACACAGACCTACCAGTATAAACACTCCAACGATGCGAGCTACAGGAAGGATCACGAGGCACTTTAAAAATCAAGATAAACATGAAGTAAGCCTATTGTCGAGCAGTAGGCTAGTAACTAAATAAAATGCTGTGCGGAGCATATTATGGTTACGTATTGCACCAATAATCTTGTGTTGTTAAACATGAGGCTTGATGATTTTCTGATGAAGTGTAATACCCTTGGCCTTCCTGTTGTTGTATGTATTTGGGCCAATGAATAAAAAATGTGGCTTTGTGGGTTATTTACCGTGTCATTGGAGAGTATGTGTGGTTTACAAGTGTTTCAAATAGTTCTACATGCACAATCTGCTCACCATAAAAATAAATCATTGCACAGCATCAAGAGAATAACAATGGTTCACAAAAAATAATCAAAACAAGTAGTTGGCTGTACAAAGTGATGTGTAACCGAAATGATGTTATCATGAAAGAATAAATAAAATGTGCTGCGAAACTAAGAGAGCACCATGGTTGTAGATTATTTGGACCATCTATTTCCTATGTGTCAGTTTTATGTACACAAAGAGACAACAATCCGGAATGCAATATCTACATTGGAAAGAATACAAACCTTTCATGTAACTGAAAAGATTAGTTTGCTTCACCTCAACACCAAAGCCAAAGATGTCTCAAATTTGCAGAAAACGTGTACTATGTATTGTGGAATCATGCAACCGGTGCTCGAACTTGAAGTAAAAAAAAAAAGGATCGAACTAGAGGATTGACGGATCGACCGCTTGGTTAGTAGGGGGCGGCATTGAACACCCTGCCAATCCAGTGCTCAAACTTAGACACACAAAGCCTTAAATAAAAGCCAGATGACCTGACATTATTTGTTGGAAAAAATACTACCAGGCCCGCTCTCCTAGAAAATGCTACAAGATTTGTCAGCAGATTCGTCAAGAGAAGTACGTACAGGAGTTGTCTTTGGAGTGAGGAGAGAAACAAAGTAGCAGAGCAACAATAACAACCTGTTTTCATCCAGATCGGTGAGCTCGCTAGGGCATACATGTTACATGCTATTTGATTACTGATAGGGCAACCAAATTTAGGCTACATGAATCATCCTTGTAGGTATTTAACCAAATGGAAGGAAGAGTGCCAGGGAGGAACACCTGTAGCTAGAGCAGAAAATGGGTCTATCAGAACATGTTATATGGCTGATCCCACCCAAGTTCAGCAAATCACAGAAGTACAACATGGAGAAAATAAAAATCCCTACATATTGTGGCTCACACATATCCATGCCAGATATCCGATTGCTTTTGATACTGAAAATCTCATATAGCAGCTTGAGCGTCACAAACAATACGCAATACGGTGTGTGGTATGCTGTGACTGAAGGTTAACGCTACTGCTTCAGTTAAGCGCCAGCAGGCCACAGTGGTCAGTGCGGCCACGCACGGGCCTTGACTTGGATTTAATTGATTGATTGATTGATGGAACTACTCGCAACTCATGATTCAGTTAAGCGCTAGCAGATTGAGCCTGGGACCAGCGCGGCCGACTAACCTGCGTGACGGCGTGGGCTCGGTAGCGACTCGCGAGCCCGCCTGCGCCTTCGCCCTTCCAGCTCCGCGCCCACCACTGTACGCGGCGCTCAGCGCTCGAGCCGAGCATCGGAGGCGGCGCTGCCGCCGCAACCAGCCACTGCGAGAAGGCAGAGGAATAGAGGATTGTTCGTCAGGCTCAGCCGCTCAGGCGGCCGGGGCCTGCGGTCTGCCGTCTGCCGTCTGCCGTCTGCCTCGCCACTCGCCGGGCCCAGTGTATCTTATATTCCGATCGAACGGTCCGGGCACCAAAGGGGAGCATCGGCAAATCATCCGACGGCTCCAGCCGTGTGTCGTTTCTCAAGTACTCGTAATATTCTTTTGCTAAAACTATTTTGGCACATGTGCTGCACAAAAGGTTTTCCTCGCTGGAACTTGTTTCATTGACGCCATATATACCCCCATCCATCGATCTGCGTGGTATATGAAAACTCAGCATACAGACTTAAAAGTAACAAAATCAGTAGGGCTTATGCTTGTAATTAGTTCAATCCACATGACCGTATGTGTCGGCGTAGATTGAGGCGAAAATTAAACTAACTTACATCCCGATACATATGAACTAAATTGAATACGATGGATTAAAAACAAATCATAATGACTTGGGCGATGACGGAGGCATGGCGCCGGCCTTGCTCGGCAATCCCATGGAGTTCAGCACGGCTTGAAAAGGCGAGGACTCGGGAGATGAGGCGCGGTCATGAAGCTCGGGGAGGCCATCAAGATTTAGTGACCCTAAACCGATTTCAAGTTCAAAATTGGTGCGTTTTTTTTTTGGCAATGAAGAAGTGGTGTGAAACCATTTTCTGGCGATGGAGCGGGCCGGCCATTTGGGTGCCCACTTTTTTTATAACTCGCGTTTGGTTGGTTTGTTTCACCGGGCTACTGAAATGACGCTGCATACATGGATACGGCGCACAATGCTCGCTGCTCAATGCTTCATTGCCCTGTTGGTTTGATCTCCCAACCACAGTGGCCCAACGGCCACTTGGGCCTTGACCTCGCGCCCTGATCGGGGGCGCCCAGTCCATCTATGGCTGGCGGGCCCCCGTCACACTGCGCATTAAATAGAGGTGGGGTCGACGGCTCTCGGTACGAGGTTCGTCTGAGCCGTACGCCCCACCAAGAAACCCTACTCCGATCTAACAGAGGGGCGCAGCCAGTGACGGGAAGCACCGCCGCCGCCACTGCACTGCGCCACCACGGTCTTCACTGCATCGCTCTCTCTTCTCCGACCGTCGCTGCCTAGCGCAGATCATCACCGACGAACTAGCCGAAGGCAGGGAGCTCCTCCAACCCCTCCGACGGTTAGATGTTCCTACATTTCCCTTTCTCTCTCTCTGTCTCTTACTCCCTCTGAATCTCTAAATCACTAGTTATCCCAAATAGAAAAGAACTCACCCACTGGATCCACTACTAGATGATCCAAAGAAGTATAACATGCCCCTCTACCTCGCTCTCGAAGATTCCTTGGTATATGCAAAACTGGCTTCCACGCCTAAGAAAAGAGAATGGAGGGAGTATACATTTATTAGAGGTCACCGGTATGACCGAAAATCATGAAATTTGGCTGAAATGTCAAACCTTGATGTCGACTCATATCAAGTGGGGACGCTTCTAAAGCCGTAGCAAACTACACAGTCGCCCATGCCATAGGCTTGAGATGCTCAATCATATGCTTAGGGCTTTGGCAAGACTAAGCCCGAAGCCAATTTGTAATATACATCATTCATCCCAAATTGTAAGTTATTTTGTTTTTTATATATAATTTTATTTTGCACCTAGATATACTCCCTCCGTCCCAGAAAGAATGTAATTCTAGCACCGGGTCATGTTTTAGTATCTTAAGTTTGATCAATTATAGATAAAAAAATATCAATATTTATGATATCAAATAAATATCATTAGATTAGTTACGAAATGTATTTTCATCATAAATTGATTTGGAGTAATAAATGTGAATATCATTTACTAGAAACTTGGTCAAACGTGAATCACTTTAACTAGCACGTAACACGTAGTTGTATTCTTTTTGAGACAGAGGTTGTACATTATATCTATATACATATTTTTTATGTATCTAAAAACGTCAAAATAATTTATAATTTGAAACTGAGGGAGTAGCAACTAGTGATCTAACTTAGGTCGTGGCTTGACATTCAGGTCCAATATAAAAACATAATATACTCCATTCATTTTAATATAACATTTGCTTTATTTTTGAACTAATTCATTTTTCTCTAAACGTTACATACTACTCCCTCTCTCCATATAAATAGATATAACTATGGGATTTGTGCAAGTTAAACATGTTTAACTTTTATCAAAGTTATGAATAGTATTAATATTTATGTCTCTATTTTACTACGAAAGTTTATTTCATAATTGATTTAATGGCACTTATCTTGTATCATAAATGTTAGTACTTTTAAATATAATTTTGTCAAACTTCAAGTCGTTTAACTCATCGTTTCGCAAAAAAAAAGTCGTTTAACTCATGAAAATAGTGAGAACTGTATTTTTTGGGGGGAGTAAAAAACAGAAGGGAGTATATCCTTTGGGAATTGGAAGCATGGGGATTTCCTTTTTCTCGCGGAGGAAACTAGTTGAACTCCCGTCCTTGTTGCAAGAAAGACAATGGGATGTGGAGATTGGAGATGAGGGGTCCTACATCTGGGGATCAAACACTTATAACACAAAGAAAACATACTCTCAGCTTCAGGGATCTTTAGAAGCCTTCCCCTTTTCAACTGGCCCTGGTCCTCCTACAGTTGTGTGCTATGCAACAGAGGGACTGAGGAAACATGTCTCTATTTGTTTTTTGAATGTCCCTTCAGTAGTGATTGTTGGAGTTCTCTATCAATACATTGGGACCTTACTCTCCAATCACTGGATACGTTGATAGAAGCAAGAACAGCTTTTGGTAGTTGCATCTTCATCAAAATAATGATCACTGCCTGTTGGGTGATATGGACCATCAGAAAATAGAGCTTTATTCGACAATAGGACCCCCAACATGCATTCTTGAAAGGCAAACTTCAAAGAACTTGGCCTGGTTTATATCAAGGCCAAGCAAAAGTTGAGAGGAGCTCTAAATCTGTGGAGAGATAATTTTACATAGCTTTGGTCTTTCTTTTTTCCTTTTGGCTCTTTGAGCCCTGTAACCTGTGTTTTTTGTACATTCTTTCTGTACATACTTTCTTTTGTATATATGCAAAAATATAAGTAGGGGCATCTCCTACTGACCCGTAAAAACAAGGAAACGGAGAGCGCTTCGTATGAAATTTGTATGTTTCAGTTCTACAAACATGCTCTAAACTAGGTTTAGTACTAAGGCACTTGAGTTGCAACTTTTTTGTCCAAATATGCGAAAACGTTCCTTGTGTTATTTTTTTTAAGTCATTCCTTGTGTTATTGACTGCTGCGACCGAGTACCGACCAACCCAAGGGCATGCAGAGAATGATCGCGAGCACTGGCTGACACGTGTCGGCGCCCCATTGGCAGTGGCGCAATCCTGAATGGAGGCCGCAAGTGATTCACGCGGCCACATGGCGGTCACACAGTGGCCATCAACTTATCCAGTCAGATAAGGTGGCGCCTGCAACTGCGAGCGACATATATCTTTGCCACGCATGACTGCTCGACCGACGAAGCGCACTCACGCAGAGAAAAAGCTCGGAGAGCTGAGATGGCACAAGCCTGCATGGCGTCGATGACGGGCCTCTCGCAGGGCGTTCTGCCCAGCAGGCGCGCTGTCAGCAGGGCCAGGGCGGCCGTAGTCGCCAGGGCGTCCGCCGAGGGCGAGGCCGCAGCGCAGGCGGGCCGCCGCGCCGTGCTCGGGCTGGTGGCCGCCGGCATCGTCGGCGGCGCCTTGTCGCAGGCGGTGCACGCCGCGCCTGTCAATCCCATCAAGATCGGAGCCCCGCCGCCGCCCTCCGGTGGACTCCGTGAGTGCCTGCCTGCCCGCGCCTCATATAGCTTTCTTCTTTCTTTGATACTATTATATACGTAGATGCTTTCCACCAAACCCTTTTATTTATATATATATACATCTCTCGAATCTTGATCGCGAGTTCAGAATCGTTTGGAGCTGTTCTGTAAGGCTTAGGGTTTAATTTTCAGCATAAAAACATTTAAATTTCCTCCACGATCGACAACCACATGTTTGCCCCCAAAAGATTTCATCTGACGTGTCCACTGCTATGGCGCACAGCCGGGACTGAAAACTCTGACCAGGCGAGGGACTTCGGCCTCCCCTTGTCGGAGCGGTTCTACCTGCAGCCGCAGCCACCGGCTTTGGCGGCGGAGAGGGTGAAGACGTCGGCGCAGGACATCATCAACCTCAAGCCGCTCATCGACAAGAAGGCGTGGCCGTACGTCCAGAACGACCTCCGCCTCCGGGCCTCCTACCTGCGCTATGACCTCAAGACCGTCATCGCATCCAAGCCCAAGGAGGAGAAGAAGATCCTCAAGGAGCTCACCGGCAAGCTCTTCAGCACCATCGACGGTGTAAGCTAAACCCCATTGATCACTGATCTATCTGGGAGCAATTCAATTTTTGACAAGAACTGTGGAAATAACACGGCAGCTTCTCTTCCCGTTTTGGCAGCTTGACCATGCCGCGAAGATCAAGAGCACCCTAGAGGCCGAGAAATACTACGCAGCAACCAAAGATGTGCTCGGCGATGTTCTCGCCAAGATAGGCTAGATGGAAGACAACAAATGGGCTAATAATGGTCATGTAATTTCGGACTTGTGTTTGTTCACATGGAGCCGGTAATGTACCATTTTCTGTTGATATTATATCAGCATTCAGCAAGCACTTAACTATGATGCTATCCTGAGTTCTTGACAAGTACCGTTGCGAGCTAATGCAACAACCAGAAACAGATACCAACAGCCTTAATCAGAAACAGATACCAACAGCCTTAATTCGTGATCCCGTTCATTGAAAGTTCGGCATCTGAAGTACAAATTGGTCATGAGATGAGTCTCAGCATAACAACAAGCGTGTCATAGTTATCCCAAAAAGAACACCAGATCACTCGACCCTACAAACTAAACTATCGATGAATTCATTTTGGTATTTTGCTAATCTTCAAGCAAAATAGGAATGGAACAGAAATGAGCTAGGATGTCAGGCCTCTAGCCAATTTAGCATTGATGGTGCATTCATGTCAAGCATTATTATTTCCGACAATTCAGTTAAGCTGCAGAAAATAGATAGATTCTGCAAGATAAACTATCTCTTGGGTTTTCAATAATTGTACAAAATTTCCACCACATAACAAGTGCTTACAACAGCAAGACGTATTGATATAGAAATAGAACATACGCTGGCTTAACATACACTGCTGCTCCCGAAAATGGGGGTATAGTTAGTGCACAAGAAACTTTCCCCAGTTTATATCAAGTACTAAGCCTTCCGTTATTTGCCCAGGGACATCCAATGATTTGCTGCCTCCTTTGATCTGCAAGAAAACCAAGTCACCTACATTCAACTTCGCGCTAAAAAAGGGTTACCACAAGCATATAGGATGCCTGAACTCTTTTTTATATATATAGATAACTACAACCAGGCCTGCAGAAAAAGAGCAAAACTAAAATCAGAGTGAATAGTAATCAGCAGAAATAGTCATTGTGAAGACACATTATTTACTATCACAGAAGAAAGGCTTCAAATATCAAGGGGCAAAACAGCTGCAGTAGTGAAGGAACATCCTATCTGGATCAACAAGGAAAGTGAACACGGTATAAACCAAATGGACTAACTTCGTAATTATGATTAGTCTTCCAAGAAAATACATATGATTAAAATGCACCAGGAGTCCCTAAACCTGTTTAGGGGTGTCAACTAGGTCACTAAAGTATTAATTTGCATATCTGAGCACCTAAACTTGCTAAGGGCTTCATTCGAGATCACATCTCTAGTTAGTGTTGATCAGCCTACTTGGCATCCAAACATCTCCCTCTCCATGTTAGCATGCTACACGAGCAAGTATATGCTGATTAATGATATTTGGACATTGAGTGACATAAATAACAAGTTTAGGGAACCATATCTGGTAACATGGACCTATGTTACACCCCCAAACAAGTTTGACAATCATTGCTGCACTTTACTCAATCCATATCTTAGGTACCGAACAAGTGATGATAATTTCAGAGAAAAAAGGTCCAGAATCATATTTACCTTTCAAGAAAGGCACATAGGTTTAGGCTCAGACTTTAGCAGCAGCATCAGATACCTCTTCCTTTGTATCTGTGGCTTCACTCGTTTGGTCATCACCAGCACTAATTGCTTCTAGCTGCCTTTGCTTTGCCAAAGCTCGTCTTGCTTCCCTACGAAAGTCTCTCTTGGCAGCACGAACCTCGTCAAAGCCCTCTTTAATCTTAGCCTCTTCCTCAGGAGGGAAGAAGCCTACTTCCATTTCGGTCAAATCTGAATACATCTTTTCAATCTTTGCTTTCCACACTATCCCCATCTCAGTATCCATTTTATTGTAAGGTGTCTTCAGGAGGTATTCATCTATCCCACCAGCTTTGTCAATGCACCGAAGTGCATGTGTGGTAACCTGGACTCTAATGTGCCGGTCATGAATATAGCTGAAAAGACGCTTCTCCTGAACATTTGGCTTCCATGATCGCCTTGATCTAAATAAGCAAAAGATAATCCAATAAGATGATTATAAAAACAATACCATAGCCTCAGATTTGCAAGCTATAAATAAATTCCGTCACTACCAAGAAATTCTTAGTGAATGTTATTGTCGTGGAAATTCAACTAAAAAGGAATCATTTTAATGTCATACTGCAGAAGTTCATATTCCGCCTACCCCAACTTGTTTGGGACTTAAAGGCTTTGTTGTTGTTGTTGCAGAAGTTCATATTCCGCCTAAGATTTAAGAATCTGCCACTTTAAATAGACAAGGCAACAATGCAGGTCTTAACATTATCTCTATTAAGAGATGGAAGTGTAGAGGCCAGAATAATCCCCAGATATATCTAGTGTAGAATGGGCCCACAAACCCAAACCTATGTGCTTCAGTGATTGGGTCAATCAACCAGCTGAGTATGGATACTGATTTAATATATCCTATCAAGACATATTCCTCCGAAAAACTATTGAATTACAAGTGGAGACAAAAGGCAACAGATACAAATGGGACATATTATTTATTTATTTATACGTGATGAAAAGCAGATGAAAAATAATGTTGCACTGGATGTTTAGGTGTGTTGTAACTCTCTTCTTTAATGCAATGAATGTTGCACCGGATGTGTTAAGACTGATGGTAAGATCATGTCATCATGAGATAATGAGTTGCAAGGTTATGGGATTATTATTCTCTAGATGGCTGATGGTTTTAACTTAATTGGGGGAATCTATGAAATATAATCAAGCCGTGTGGTGTGGCATTAGGCCATGTTTGGTCCCTGGGCAATCCCCTTGCCACGCCTCACTAAGCAAGGATCACTGTTTGGTACCAAGCGTGAGACTCACTTTGCCTGGCAACCTCACCCAGCCGGGCAAGGAAATCCTTGCCCGTGCAGAAGAGCCAAATCCGCTCTCCTGCATAAGCAAGGTTGTGCCACGCATCATATGCTCTCTCGCAGCGGTGGAGCTCAGCCTGAGCTTGAAATACCGAAACAACAAAATTGAACTGTTACACAAAAAGAAGCAAAAAGCGATGCCATGTGGCCTAGATTGAAACACAAATCAATGATCAGGTGGACAAATCGTAGAGATTGGAGAAGATCGCTGCCCTGCTACCATTATCAGGAGTCAGAGTCTTCAGAGGGGGATGCGAGAGCCAGTGAAGCACATGGGAAAGTTGAGGCGGCGTGGATAACGGAGGCACGCCGGTGTCATGCTGCTGGCCATGCTTGTTGTCATTCCGTGCTCACATAACCATGGTCAGGTTTTGGTGCTGCATTTCATTTGGGATTTGATTTGGTGGGAGGTTGAAGAAACGGGAAAGGGAGAAAGGGGGTGAACAAGGTTAGGAACCAAACATGACAACGTTTTTGCCACACCTTGCTCAGCTAGGTTGGGCAAAGGTTGCTTAGAGCCTGCCTAGCCTACACTAGCAAAAGATCCAAACACGCCCTAAATGGCAGGAAAAAACATGCTGGCACAGTGGCACCTCATTCACCCTTTCAAGAATTTACACTAACAGAAGGGAGTACAAAGTAGGCCCATTTTCTCTTGTGAAACAAGCTTGGAATTGTAGCTCCCTATGTTAACATCAATGGCAACGACTAGCAATTTTGTTGCATTGGACAGACCAGAAATTATGTTGGTTTGGACATTCGAATCATCAAGAATATATGATCCAAACTACCAATGACAAATGTTCCCAAAAGTGCCTGAATCGCTATCAATTCTTCCATTTCTCCAGGAAGTAATAAGGAAATTGTTTTGGCCAGACAAGTAAAACTTCCAAAAATGGTAGGCCAGATGGGAGGGGGAAACTGGACAATGCATCCCTGCTCTCCCAGATAGTGGTCACCCTTGATCATGCACAATTCCTTCTCTAGTTCTATGAAATTTGAGCATTTTTCTTGAAGGACCAATTCTTTCGGTTATTTGCTCCAGCGTCGCATCCAGATCGATGCATCCTAAGTTTCCCAAAACACTGAAACCGGAGTCTTCACCATCCAACCCGCTAACTCTAAACGCAAATCACAAAATCTGAACCATTGTTTCGGAAACCGAGCATCTTAATTTCTCCAGACAGCGTCTGGATCAGGACAAGGGGGCAATGGATTACGGAAGTGACGAGGAGAGATGGCTCACTTATTGCCGCCGTCCTCGGAGACCTTGTTCCCGAACCGGATGTGTCTCCCGGCGAAGATGCCGCGCTTGGCCCGCCCCATGACGACATTGCTGTCGGGCAGCATGTCCTTCACCGACTTCATCAGCTCCGCCGGCAGCTTCCCCTCGCCGCCGACGCGCCGCACCACCTTCTTGTACATCTCCCGCGCCCGGAACGACATCTTCCTCCTTCTCTAGTCCTCAGCTCACCCTCTTGCTACGACGGCGGCGCCGGCGGGCGGTTGCCTCGCGAGGTTTTGGTGCCTAGGGCGGCGGGGGGGGCGATGGAGTGCTGGACGAGGACGGAGAGAGAAGATTCCACTCGGCTGACCGCTAGGGCTGCAGTATTGGGCTTTGGGCCGTTTGTATCAGTGTTGGCTGGGCCACGGATGTAAAGAAAAATGGTGAATGGGGCCTAATAAGTTCCCGGCTATATGAAAATTGTTTTTAAAAATGTCCAAGAGAAACAAACTGAGATAATGCCCAGGGGAATTTGGTGATATAAAAAGACATAAACCAATTATTTCCAACCTACACAGAATAATATTTTCCCTCGAATATCCATAAAACGATCATTACTTTATCAGGTTCGATAAAAAAAAAAGAGATAGTAGTATTCAAGTAACTGAAGGAAAATCAGAAAGGATCATGATATGCCTTACAAAGAGAAATCGATATGGTGCCTTTTTTGTCCATCATGAGGGAGAGGGCATGTAATGTTTTATGGTTACGAACTGATTATATGAATTCAAAAGAGGATTACGTTCCATATCTGTTGCCAAATTTAACTATTTTAACAAATAAGTGGGGTGATCCTAATAAACACTATGGACCTATTTGGATCATGATTAGATTATTATACTCTGGCTTATGCATAGGATTACCATAAT